TATTTTTTTGTTACCCCCTTTCACCCCCTTAGGGATGGTTGCTAGGATTTGCACCGGGCGTTTCGTTGTCCAGGAGTGACCCCTAAGATACCCTGAAATTTGCAGACCTCTAGCTCATCTCCTTCCTCTTACACGGACGACGGACAGACAGACAGACGGACGGACGGACGGACGGACGGACACGAGAGCGGTTGCATAAGCCCGCTTTAATGCTTTTTTTAAAAGCAGAAGGGCGGGCTAAAAAACCCTGAAAGTCGGAGGCAATATTGCCTACATTGCATCGCCCTCCGTTAGGCACATTTAAAACCGCACCTGTCAGTGGCAGGAGGCTGTTTAACCCCGCGCGCTCACTTCTGCACTAAATAAACAAAGGTGCTAAGTCCTACCTTTAAAAGGCACTAAGGGTTTAGTGCCTTTACAATGGCACTACGACTTCTGAAGGGCACTAATTTTGAGCACCTTTAGGGCTCCCTAATGCCTTTACAGGGACACTAAACTCAGAATTCGGTTAGTGCCCCAGGAAAGGCACGACTTAGAACCTTTGCTTTATCCAGCGTAGTTATGCCGTACCGCACGCTCGAGTGCGGACGGGCTTGCATATCGCCCCTGTCCAAGGCGCCTTACGCACGGGTCGAGCTAGTAGGCAACCTGCCCTCACCTGTGCGTGTGGTACCAAGAGGAAATAGGCTCCAAAAAAATGTGCAAGTGAAGTCGAAGCTCATGAACATCGGTCGAAGTCAAGCCGGAGTTCAGCCAAAAGTCACTGGAGTTTGCTTTGTAAAATTCGATCTAAGTTCACTGAAATTCACCGAAATCCATCGAAGTTTACGGAGTTCACCGAAGTTCAAAATAAAATGCCCTACTTCCCCAAAGTTCAATAAATAAATGTCAAAGTTCCCCGAGGTTCAAAATAAAGGGTGCCGGACATCTCGCCCCAGCTAGCTCGCCCCAGCTACAACTCGCCCCGATTATATGGCGAATTCCGGATGCAAGTTTTTGCCAACTCGTCCCAATCGGCCAAATTTTCAAAATCTCGCCCCATAATTTCAATTTAATGGCACTATCACTATGCCACCTCACCCATCGGCCGCCCCACACTGCAAAAAGTGGCAAAAAATGGCAAAATAAAACCTGTTTCGGTAATATTTCGTCATATTTTGGGCTATTTTGACCCATTTAGGGCACAATGACTTTTAACGGGTCTCGGCTTGATGGGAATCGATTCTATGGTTCTAGGGACGTACCGTACACACAGGTAGCATTGCTTAAAATGATCCTTGGGTACTTGTCTCACGCTGCCTGACTCGTAGGGTACCATTGGACACCGTGGGAAAGGTACCCCATACTATTGGCTTTGAGTATTTATTTTGAGCTACATGCGTGATCTAGGTGTCGATTTTCTACGCTACGCACTGTGAGAAAAGTACCGCATAATAGTCGTTTTATGAATTTAGAGCTACAGGCGTGATTCAGGAGTCAAATCGGGCTAAATTAGACAAACCGAGCTCCCACTTAAAAGGCCATCCTTCTAAATAAAACACTGCAAACCAATAGACCATTCCACCGACTGTGGAGGGAGAAAGAAAAGAATCAAAAACCACCGGAAACAGTATTGATAAACAGATGAAATCGTTCACTTTTTCTAGTTTTCTTGGCCAAGATTATTACCTTGGACTTGTTGGTGTGCCATAGAGGTGTACACAAGTGATCTACATACTGGTTTTCGGTACTGTTTCCGGTACTTTTTGAGTCTTTTCTTTCTTCTTCCCCATTCGGTGGAATGGTCTATTCAAAAATTCACTTTAATAAAGCATTCCGGTGAAGCTAAAATGCAGAAGAATGCGAGGAAGAACAAAACGGAAATCACTATGCTTTTCCATGGGACTTCCGTTTTCTCGTTCCCTGCATTCTCCTCCAGCTTTACCGGAATGCTTTATTAGGGCGAGTTAGCACTGGGGCGACCTGGGCTCGGGCGAATTGGGCATGGGGCGACTTGGGCATAGGGCGAGCTAGCTGGGGCGATCTGTCCTAGATCCCAAAGTAAATCGTAAAAGATAACTGAAGTTCAAACCAAATTAGTAAATATTTAAGGCTGAAATTGTCGATTTTGAGTGCTTACTACAACCGAGTCCCCAGCTAACTGAAAGCAGATATTTATGGATCGAATTACAAAGATTACGGAGCGAGAATTTTGCTTTCATAGCTCTTGATCAGTTCCAAGTTCGAGAAATTTGGTGTAAAGGTTTAGCGAAGTTCACAAAAGTTCCCGAAGTTCACTAGATTTAACAGAAGTTCACCGAAATTCAAGAAAACGTACACCGAAGTTCAAGCCTATTTCCCTTTGTGCGGTACAGATCAACTCCAGAATAGACGGTTCGGGCAGTGTCTGCTTAAAGAGGAATTAAGGAAATCAGCACCGGAAACAGTTCTAAAATAATCGCTTAAACAAGTGCAAATGAGCCTTGACCGTTACGAGTGAGTTATTACAGGTCATTAACATCGAACTGCATTGTCAAATGATCAAAATCGGCGAACTGGAAGTACTGATTCCGGTCCAGACTTCCTTACTTTTTCTCGAAAAGAGCACAGCCGGAACCATCATTTAAGCAGGGTTAATCAGCCACCACCTGGTACAATCTTAATGACAGAGAGAAATAATTGTAACTAGCACGGACCCTTGTGCTCAGAACTTACTTTAGTTACAATATGTTAACTTGCTAATATTTTATGGGAATTCAGGTCTGAACACACAAGTCTGGTGCTAGTTAAGCTTACAGTTGACAAAGTATTGTTTTTTCTCACCAGCTAGTTCTACGGTATAAAAAGTTGGAATTAATTAACGTTTAATGAACCTACGAAGAACTAAAAAGAATTTCAGCACCACCGGAAGTATGAGAGTTACGACCAATGTGGAGAAGTGACGGTTCCTTCCGGATCCGCTCACACTAAAAGCTTATGAACTTTTTTGTTCATATCTTACTGAGTTCTGTAAACAAGCTCGGCTTACGCACTTTGAACGTATGAAGTATGAAGAAATTTGTTCACACTGGCGTATTTAAAAATGCGTAAGCCGAGCGTTTTTACATAACTTAGTAAAGATATGAACAAAAAAAATCATAAGCTTTTAGTGTGCGCATTTCGAAAAGTAAGGAAACCAGGACAAGAACCAGTACGAGAAGTTCGCCTATTTTTTTCTTAGTGCAGTTCGTCATGAATGACCTCGACAAAGGGTTCATTTGCACTGGTTTTAGCCGATGTTTCACAACTGGTTCCGGTCGTGATTTCCTGAATTCTTCTTTAAATCGGCACAGACCGAACCATCTATTGAGGCAACACGTTTCACAAAAGTCTCCCTAAATTAAAACGTAAAAGCCTGTAGAAGTGTTTTCGATTGGGCGCTTGCCCGACACTTGCCCGCGGAAGCCTTTCCCACCTTCCGGTGCTGTTCTTCTCCCTTCCGCTCAGCGCTCGATTGGAATTCCCTAACAAAAAATGTTCTAACGCACAGAACTAGAAATTTTCCAATGAGAGGTACCAGATTTGTCATCCGGAAAAAATAGAATAGACCTTTGAGCAGAAGCGAAGTGAAGAGCAAGGAGAAGAACAACAGACCGGAAACAGCTACATTATGCGACGCAAACTGACGTACACTTCCATAAAATGAAAACAATATTGAAACTGGTAGGACACACATTTTACTCGGGTGTTTAGTGCACGCTTGCAGCTGTTTCCGGTCTGTTTTCATTCCAGGCGCGGTTTTAAGTCTGGCTGACGGAGGGGACGATTTGCTGTGGGTTGCCTATACTTTCAGGGGTTTTGTAGGACAAATTGTCTACCTACCCCAAGGGGCGATCTGGGCCGAAAGGGGGGGGGGGGCGATCACCCCTTCGCCCCCCCCCCCCCTATAAAACCACGCCTGTTTCATTCGCCTCCTTCATCAGATCACTTCAGGTTAGAGGGTTCATTGCAACTGGTTTAGATCTGCAACGCAATGCGTCTGTCTGGATTTGAGGGCCACAGACCTACGAGAAAGGGCGCTGCTGCTGGCCCCGAGGGTCTGGGCCCGACCAAACGCAAACGGCAGCCCAAGCTACGCCGAGCTACGCCCACTTCCGGTCGAACCGAGGTGCCAGTGCAACGGAGAGAAGCTGGCAACACGGTTTGACCGAAAAGCGGGCATTGCTTGTTTCGCTATATTCGTCAGTAAACGTCGCCCAAAGACCAACGGACTCGGCAAGTTTAGGCTTAGAAACCAAACGACAAGTAATGAAAAATATAATCAAGTTTCATTTTTCAAACCCCTTTTGCCTCCTACTTCTGCCAATCGGGATTGCTATGATATGCAAGGCAAGAGGGCAGGTCACAAAGAATGAGAATAAAATGTGCTCCACATTAAAAGGTATAACCTTTCGGCAGGAAAATTGGCAAACAACTTCCGGTCTCTTGTAAATCTTCTAAATTTCTAACAAACTTCTCTACACTCTAAATCTGACATGACTTTTTTTTTTGTCTCAACCGGATGCAGCAACCGGAATTCAGCAAGGGACAAATTAGCAGCCAGTTAACTGACAATAATTTGTTTGTCTATCCCTGAGATGCAAATTCCACAATTAATTTATTAAAATCTGCATCCGTTTGAGGTGTGCACAAAAACGCTACATTCTATGCACAAAAAAGTCCGATTTAGAGTGTACAAAGGTCTATGTACCCTGCAAACTTCTCAAACTCAGTGCCATTGATTTTCTCTTGGGAGAAATTCACACAATACATTGGAAAAACAAAGGTGGAACTGATAAAAATGCAATGACTTTGAAAAAGCATTCAAAATCAACACCCCTGGAAAGGCACTTCAACTCCTAAAAGGAGATAGATTTCAATACATTTGAACATTTTTGGTGTCCTCACAAAGCCACTAACATTTAATCACCTTAAATGGAATCAGGTCCCACATTTGTTTTTCGAGTGTATCTAAACCACTGGCAAGGCATTTACAAGACCTTTACACCCAAGGAGGAAAAAACACAACAACTGATGAAAAGTCAAAGTAGCTGTGTGCACAGCAAAATATATTTTGCTTCGACCAATGACACAAAATAGCGTAGTGCCTCCTTCAATCAGTATTTGTGCTTCCTGCTTAGGTCGACTAAATATGCCAATCACGAGAAACTATGAATCAGAAGTTCAGTCAAGACTCACCCAACTCAGCCTGCCCGTCCAGACACAAAATGTAGCAGCTTTGCGTCAGAAACTTCTTGCTGGTTAAAATTGAAGGCAAATCAGTCATTCAGTTTCCATCAACACCTGCAATGCAAAACACCACTATAAAAACAAAATTCTTCTACATAATTTACTTAAGCAATTACAAAGTTTACACCAAAAAGCAAAAGGTTGGCTATTCTGTTATGATTCACATCAAAGCAAATGAGGAGGAGGTTTCTATTTTAAAATTAGGATTGACTTCACTTTTACTGCAATAATTAATATTCAGAAACCAATTCGAGCAATATGACAGTCCCATCTCAAGGCAAAAGAAAAATTCCCTTCTTTTTTTCCCCAAAAAAATCTACTAAGGTGACAAAGAAGTAGAGAGACCCCTCACTTAGGAACAAACAAGACAATGTTAAAAAACCAAATATCGAGCTACTATTTTTATCACATATGAAAGGGACATCTTCAATAATAATAGCATAACATAAACAAAACTCACGCTGTTGAGGAAGATGGGCTCAGAAGCTAAAAGCTTACCATAGCAATGTTTCTGCATAATACCAGCAAATACTCCATCAATGTGCAGGCAGTGACACCGAAGCTGAAGAACAATGAATGGAACACCTGTGAAAGAAAACAAATTTCTCGTATTCTGACAATCACAAATACTTCTCAATACAATTCTCATACTCTCATGTGTATAATCAAACAGCTCACCACATCAGTTCTCACAAGTAATATTAATGTGTCTTGAACGTCTTCACACAATTTCTGACGCGCTCCAAATTACTTGCCACAAGCAAAGATCGTATCCTGCTCCAAACTCTGATGTGCCAACTAAGCAAACCAAGATTGAAGAACATCTCAGAGACTGAAATAAAAACAGTCAACAGTTAGGAATATTCTTACTTTTTCACATCAAGTGCTCTCTCTTGTTAATAGCTGACCACTCGCCACCAAAATATTTACAATTCCATGTGAAATCAGGACAACATAATAGAGCTTCTATTTGTTCATGAATATTCACTAAGATTAATGCAGCAATTGCTTAAATCCTTAAAATAAACAGATGGAGACGGAACAATTCAATACACATTCTATTTTCCTTATCCGAACAGAACTGTAAATTTAATGAGGTGCCACGCAACACAGACTTACCCTTGTACAAAATCCTTCCCCGCATCAATAACATCTGGTGACCAAGTGTCAGATTTCAAAACAAATGAGCCAATCACATTAAAATGCAAACCTAAGAAAGAAAAGTGAATTTTAAAAGTCTGTTGGGAAACAACATTTCACAAAACTAAAAATGTAAAAGACACAAAAGCATTACAAATTATCCTTACTGTTGGAGACTTGCAAAGTCTTGCAAAATCTTATCATAATTTGCCTTCCATATCTGACACCAGATACCAGCATATAACAAATAAACAGTGTTCAGCCCACTAGTGATTCTCATAGCCTATAAAGGAGACACTCTAATTAGTTTCAGCAACAGTATAATGCTTGAGGTAGGAATGTGGCAAAAGTACAGCTAAATTTACCTCGTATAGTCCAGTAAGAGAGAGATCAAAGCTTTGTCGATCTAACCCTCAAGAGTATTAAATACTTTCATACGGAACACACATACACTCATCAAAAAGCGTTCTGGAAGGACAAAAATACAAGGTGACGGGTTAATTCAAATAAAAAATATTTCTTTACAAGAATAAACTGCTTTGATTTCACTCACCAATGCAAAATAAAATCCAACAGCTGATAATTAAAGTAACTTGCTCACTCCATCTTCTACTACTAAGGCGCTGCTCGACGGGGACCCTGAATCAAAACAACAACAATATCACCACACTAAACAGAGCAGGAAGTAATTGCGAATGTCATGCCCATGCTATAACAACACTCACCTATATTAATTATTCACCCCTTCTGCTCTTGTGGGCCACAGGTCACTTGACAACTTCAATGCGATCATCACAAGATAATAAAATCGACACCTTGCACTAATCAGAGTCATACCTGCCAGAAACAGAAAAAAGGTTAGAATTTCAAAAAACAATGCAGTCAACTCGATTCACTGCCCATCAGAACTATTTCAAGACGCACACACAAGAAATAAACAATATTTCACTACACTTTATTCCCCATGGAGTCCAGAGGCAGGGGGAGGGCAACTTTCACATACTTGATTTAATAGACAATCCCGAATACAAAACTATCACGAGGCAACCATCATTTAAGAAAGAACACATAGAAAAGTCACGATTGGCGCAAACAATCGCAATCACAAGAGAAATGAGGAACTTTTGACATGTTACAATCTGTCTTTGAGAGGTTAGGTTGACCCCACTAGCAAAGACAAAATAAACGTCTTCTACACCTAACACCACACTGAAAATTACACCCACACCTCGGCCAGAACAAGACTCACCATATTTCACACCTAGCCTCTGCGTTCGGCGAAGAAAATCATTGAATTTCAGCGTGCCTACACGGAGTCGGTTCGAGCGGCTTGCACAAACCTCGTAGGCTCTCGGGTACGCTCGGGCCCCGGGCGGCCCGGGGCCGTTAAGTCTGCCTGACACCCGGCCCTCCTCGACACGTACAATTACCGCGACGAAATTCGTTACCAAGGATTACGATATTTTGACACATTTCATACGTCTCTCAACGCCTAAACACCTCCCACCCAAAACATGGCCATATCAAAACAAACAACAACTTTGGGGGGAACAGGAAATAGATTCATTCCACAGCTAG